ACACTTGTGTCATAGTTTGTATTATATTTGTATGTGTCTTTTATCTCCACTAGAGCCGTGGGAAAATAGGCAGTTTATGTAATAATTAGCCTAGTAGTTACCAGGGGGAGACACAAGATAGGAGATTCCTACCCTGAATCTCAACCCTAACTAAAAGATAAGGAAGTTGAGGGGTTTTTCTAGTGACCTTTAGAAAATGCAGTAATTTTTGTATCATGTCAGAGGAAAGTACAGCTCTGTTAAGTTTGTAAATATGAAAGTCTTAATTTATGGTTAATATTTTATTGTTAGAGCTTCTCAGAAAGTGTACCAAATCTCTCGACAGACTAGAGAATATCGTTATTTTTAAAAAACCAGGAAGTATAAAATCTGATATGGTTGAAGAGAAACTAAACCTAAAGTAAAAGGAAAGAAAAGACAGTTTGTGGAAGAAGAAAAGAGAAACAAGTCCTTTGTGAGCCTTTCTTCACAGCAGACAAATTCTTTCCTTGATAAGAAAAAGAGTACCATTTAGTCATGGAACATTTATGAGGCATTGTAAACGAATCCCTTACTCAAAAGGTACAAATCTCTTAAGTGGGGAGCAAATTTATTCTCTACTTAAAAAAAGAGACAGAAATTCACTGAGAGTGTAAATTTTCAGACCATCCAGACAAAGCCAGTACATAGCTAATATACGTGTTTCTTCTGCACATATATCACAGAATTACAATAATCACAAAAATCTGCAAAGAGCTGATGAGACTCAACAACAACAAAGAAAATAATCCCGTCAAAAAATGGGCAGAAGAGCTAAAAAGAAACTTCTCTGAAGAGGAAATGCAAATGGCCAACAGGCATATGAAAAAATGTTCAACATCACTTGTAATCAGGGAAATGCAAATCAAAACTACCATGAGATACCATCTTACACCAGTGAGAATGGCACATATTAAAAAAACTAGCAACAACAAGTGTTGGTGAGGGTGTGGAGAAAAAGGAACTCTTCTGCACTGTTGGTGGGAGTGCAAACTGGTCCAACCACTATGGAGAGCTGTGTGGAGATTTCTGGACCTACTAAACATAGAGCTTCCATATGATCCAGCAATTCCACTCCTAGGTATTTACCCAAAGGACACAGAAACATCAATTCCAAAGAACACCTGCACCCCTATGTTTATAGCAGCACTATTTACAATAGCTAAGCTTTGGAAACAGCCCAAATGCCCAAAAATAGATGACTGGATTAAGAAGATGTGGTACATATACACCATGGAATATTACTCAGCATTCAAAAAAGATAAACACATGCAATTTGCAGCAACATGGATGGCGCTGGAAGGGATCATGCTCAGCGAAATAAGCCAAGAAGAAAAAGAAAAATACCGGATGGTCTCACTCATAGCAGGAATCTAGAAAACTTAAATAAGGGACCAGAAAAATGAATAACTATAAGAAAGCGAAAATCAAAATCAACAAAAAACTATGAACCAGAGACACTTTTTGGGGGGTGAGGGGCGGGAGGGGAGGGATTGGGGTCAGAATGGGGGATTGCAATTGTATGGGGAATATAAAAATAAAATTTATTATTAAAAAAATAATAAAAATGTCAAGGTCAAGAAAAATAAGAATATACTAAGGAAATATTGTAAAAAAAAAAAATAGTGATAGGGAACTTTATCCAGATGTCTTCTAAAACTTTTATTAATGAAAATTGACTATTTTGATTGGTAATTTCTTTCCTGTTAATAAGTTCCTCTCCAGTACACAGAGGAAGAAAACAGGGAAACTACTATTTTAGACCTTAATTCTTTTTTTTTTTAAGATTTATTTATTTTTATACAAGAGCCAGGGTACAGACCAGATGCGCAGGAGGGTGAGAGGATCCACCCGAGACAGAGTGGGGAACAGAACAGGCAGACTGATGAAATGTACTGCTGAGGGGAGCAGCGGGCGAGTGAGGAGAGGTCTATCGCGCCATGTGGGATTCTCACCGGCTGACCAGGATCGAACCCGCACTGCAGAGGCTGCGGACAGCTTCACAGTGCGGCGCTCAACCACCTGCGCCACTGGGGAGGCCCTTAATTCTTTTTTAAAAAATATATTTATATATATTTTTTACGTTGTTCATTTTGTACAATGTTTGATTTCCCTTTCAGGTGTAATCCTCATAAAAATCCCACCACTAAGTCACCCATGAACTGTCACCATAGTCTCTTGTACTTTTCCCTCCTGTTTTGATCCTTCTTCCTCCCTCTCCCTTGCTGTATGTCTCTAATTTATAGTTTGTCTGCTATTTTTGTCTCTTTTTTACCCCTGACTATTCTGGTCTTAATTCTGATTAACAATGAAAAGTTGGTTGGGAGAGTGGAGGTGTAAGAGTTCAGGATGTGAGGAGCATTGTTAACTGGCTTATTGCACAGAAATAACTTGGCACTCCTTCCTCAGGGGGTATTATTATACATTCATGCCTCATTGACATGAGCTTAGTCTTGTAACTTCCATTGGCCAAAGAAATATGAGAAGACAGGGGCCTCCCTGGTGGCGCAAGGGGTTAAGACACAACCTGAGAAGCTATCCGCAGCCATTGCGGCACTAGTTCGATCTCTGGCCAGGGAGGTGACTCACATGGAGCAGCAGACCTTTCCTGACTCACCCGCTGCTCCCCTCAGCAGTGTATTTCAGTCAGTCTGTCTGTTCTGTTCCCCACTCTGTCTCTGGTGAATCCTCTCACCCCCCACACCTCTGGCCTGTACCCCAGTTCTTGTATGCATAAATAAATATTTTTTTAAAAAAAGAAATATGAGAAGACATAACTTAGATATATTACTTCTGGACAAATGTACATAGTCATCCATGCTTTTTCTTTTTCCATCTGCCACAAGATTAGAAAAATCTTTTTCATCAGCTTTAAATCAGTATCGACATGCAACACAAATTCAATGAAGCCAATTCTCTGTTATAAGACAGTGGTTCCAAGTTAGGTTTCATTTGTCCCTCCCCCCCCCCCCCGAGGAGACATTCAGCAATGTCATTTAACATAAAAATGTTGGTGACAATTTTAATTTTCACAACTAGGGGAATACAGCTGGCATCTAGGGAGTAGAGGCCTGATATGCTGCTGAAACTATCCTATAGTGCAAAGGCTAAGCCCTCAAAACTTAAGTATTACCTGGCCAGAAATGTCATTAATACTGAGATTGGGACACCCTGTAGTAAGCTTCTGGGTTGTTTATGACTACAGCGTAGCCTTACCTGACTAACACAGCAACGACCATGTTGTAGCCAATGTGGAAACAGTTGAAATTATTAACTGTGGTTATTGGGAAAACAGGTTTGAAAGAATGCCTGGGGGAAAATATAGGTATTGTTTATGGCATAAGATTTTGAAGGTAACTCAACAGATTCAAGAGCTTCCAGTTCCACAACTATAGTTGTACAGTTGCAAATATTCCAGATAAACAAAAAACAGACAGAAAGGTGTAAAACCAATGTGGCTGCACACTGAATTCTCTAGTGAACTCAAATATTAACATAAAGGAGGTTTGTAGTAAAAGATATACATGAGTCTTCTATAGTCCTCTAAAAACAGCATTTAAAAAAAAAACCACCGGGCCTCCCCGGTGTCGCAGCGGTTGAGCGTTGGGTTGAGAAGCTGCCCGCGGCCTCTGGGGCGCCGGTTCGATCCCCGGCTGCTCCCCGGCCACCGGAGGAGGGTCCCACATGGCGCGCAGACCTCTCCTGCCGCCCGCTGCCCCCTCAGCAGTGTACTTCAGTCCTTCTGCCTGCTCTGCTCCCTGCTCTGGCTCTGGTGAATTCTCTCACCCTCCCGCGCTTCTGACTGTACCCAGTGCTTGTATAAACAAAACAAACAAACAAACAAATAAATAAAAAATGCCTCTATTAAAAAAAAAAAAAAAACACCAAGGTCCAAAATTAACATAATTTAAGACCTGCAAAAAGTGCCAAGACCCCCAAAAGGTTTTCTCTTGTTTTAGTTTTGTTAGCAACAAGATCAAGCAAAAACTGGAATTTTTATTTGATGCTTATTAACTCCATTATAGAGATAATAGAGGAAGCATAAAGCCCAACAGAATTGCCTGAGCTCTCATCACAGGCCACTAGGCACCAGCCTTAACTGGACTACCTACTTCCTATTGTTCCTAGGAAGATGTGAGGATAGTATCTCATTGTGGGTTTGATTTGCATTTCCCTGATTGTAAGTGATGTTGAACATTTTTTCATTTACCTATTGGCCATTTGCATTTCCTCTTTGGAAAAGTGTCTTTTTAGATCTTCTGCCCATATTTTGACTGGATTGTTTACTTTGTTTTTGTTGAGTCGTGTGAGCTCTCAAGGAGGAATTTTCACTGCCACATTATTTATAAGAAGGAAAAAGCCACACAACTAAATGTTCAACAAAAGGAAAGCAGTTAAATAATACTTATAAATAATATAAGTATTACTTATATGTGATACTTATATGTGATACTTATAAATAATGTACTTCTAAACTATGCAGCTATTAAAACATTAAGTATATGAAGTATTTTTACTGACATAGAAAAAAACTAATTATGTAATGTTAGATTATTTAGAATGGTAAATTTTATATGTAATTTGATCTCTACCATACTGTTTAGATATATAAGAAAAATCACCTGAAAGAAAACATGCCAAAATATAATTGCTTCTGCATGAGAGGTGATAATAATTTTAATATTTTCCACATTATAATTAACATATGATATTTGTGAAGAAAACACGTTTTTGTTAAGTACACTGCGTAACTGGTACAAGAGGGGAGGGGAAACTATCCACCTGCAATTTGTGTAGCACATATTCTACAGATTATAATAAATATTTGATATTGAAACAGCAATGTTGAACAGATAATATATGTAAGATTCTGGTAATCAGTTAAACAACCACTTGTCAAAATGTTAAAAGTTCCCCATGCTTGAGAAGTGACAATTGTAGAATCACCTGAAGATATTTTTATAATTTGTTTTCTTTTTTAGGTTGCTGCTGTTGATCTTCTGGTTCCTGGAGTTGGAGAACTCTTTGGAGGAAGCCTTAGAGAAGAACGGTACCATTTCTTAGAGCAGCGACTGGCAAGGTATGGGACAGACCTAAAAGAAATAAAATTCAGAAATTGGGATGAGGTACTCAAACGCAGTCATGACAAAGTAACAGGAAACTGTGCATGGACCTCAGCATCTGACAGACCTGGATCTCAGGTTCTATGTGACCTTTAGCAAGTTGTCACTTAACCTTTCCAGCTTCCCTTTGTTAAAGACTGGAACTGTTATATGAAAAAAGGCCACAATGATATTTGCCACTTACTATTTGAAATAGCTTTAGAAATGGTTTTTTGAAGTTAGTGATAAAAGAAGGGAGATTTATCTCTTAACGATTGTCCTTCACGTTTCCCTTCTCTGTGATCTTTTTTTATTTACTTTAAATAAATAATGTCTTTATGTCCTCACAGGGACATAAACACAGACTCTGACCCCAAGAAAGAATGAAAATGGAAAAAGAAAGATACTAAAAATACCCACTAAGTTAGCATTTAGCAAGCAGTTTTCCCTTCCTCCTGCTATGTAAGGGTCTTGATTTAGCTATTTGAATAACTATGTAGACTCACTGTTTGAGACCCAGGAAACAAATTAATAAATAAGAAGCAGGGACTCATGTTTCTAATTGAACTGCCACTCCTGTATGTATATACACAATCTGTCAACAAGCTACAATAACTTCCCAAACTAACCAGGGATACAAACCTGTTTACATGGTTTCCACTTTACTCTGCCAGGCAAAAGACTTTCCCATGTTGAAGGCTTAATCCTTCTTTCCAGATAATACTGGGTTTCATAGTAACCTGGAAAAGCCATAATTGTTTAAAAATGTCCTATTAAATTAGCCCATTTGTAAGGCCTTCTTTTCCTAAGGAGAAATGCTTCAAAAGTTGATGCTTTTCCAAGATCCCAACCCGTAAATCTCTGGGTAACTTGGTTTTGTTAATCCAAATCATTTGGATTAACTGCTGTCTTTGGTGAGCATCCAGAAGAAAAAGGATAAATAAGTTCAGGGAGGACTCTTTATCAGTTAGCCTCCTAGCTTCTTACTATTACTATAGTATTAGAAAGTCCTGGGAAAATCATGGACTTGAAGGTCAAACTCCTTAAATGGAAAGAATTTGAAGATTCTCTGACTTTTTTTTTTTAAGCACAATAAAAATCACACATGGCAAGAAACTCATCTGTTGAAAGATTAATTGGTCTGTTTTCTTTGCTTGCTTCCTTCCGTCAGGAAATCTTTCCTCATAACATTAAATGTTTACCTAATATTTAATAATATCCAAATTTGTCTCTCCTCATGAAATGGATATATGTGTTCCCCTGTCTCAGTGATCTGTCTGTGATTTCTGTTCATGTTTTATTTTTTTTACATATTTGAGTTTTTCATAGTCACCTCAGATACACTGTAGTTCCAAACATTTTTTTGAAAGGTTGAAATTAGTTTTGATGAGAACTAATGAGTTTAAAATTTTATTAATGTTTCTCACATTGGCTAAAGCAAATTGGAAGTCATATAATGAAGGCAGCCTTAGAATCTCTTTTGGTTTTTAAAAAAATTTTAAGTTCTTTTTTTTTTTAATTGCCTCCACCAAACCATCCATGCCCATACCCCATCTGCTTCTGTACTCCATCCTCTATACCCTTTCCCCTACTCCCTCTGGTAATCATGATCTTCTATTTTGCTGAGTTCAAATTTTATTTCTTCTATGATTTGTGTATAATTTTTTTGGGGGGGAGGGAGGTATTTATATTCCGCAGATGAGTGAAATTATCTGCTATCTGTCTTTTGCTTTTAGGCTAATTTGACTCAACATAATCATCTCAAGGTCCATCAATTTTATGCTAAATGCCACCACTTCATCTTTTTTCACAGCTGCATGATATTCCATTGAATATAAGTTCCATGGTTTCTCTATCCATTCACCTGTTGAGGGGTACTTGGGTTGGTTCCATGATTTGGCAATTGTAAATAGTGCTGCTATGTACATAGGTGTAGATAGATCTTTTCATGTTAAGTTTTTCATATTATTTGTATAAACACCTAATAGCATTATTAGTGGGTCAAATAGGATTTCTATTTTTATTTTCTTGAGACAGCTTCATACCACAGGGTCTATAACAGTTTGTATTCCCAATGAATGAGAATTCCTTTTTCACCGCAACCTCACTAACTTTTTTTTATATGTGGCCATTCTCACAGGGGTGGGGTAGTATCTCAGCATGGTTTTAGTTTGCATTTCTCTTATAAGTGAGGAGGAACATTTTTTCATATGCCTATAGGCCACCCTAATGTCTTCCTTAGAGAAGGGTCTATTAAGGTCCTTTGTCCATTTTTTAATTGGGTCATTTGTTTCTTTCTTGATGGACTATGTAAGTACTTTGTACGTTATAGAGATTAACCCTTTGTCAGGTATCTGATATACAAATATTTTTTCCCATTCTGTAGGTGTCATTTGTTTTTGTGATGGTTTCTTTTGAGGTACAAAAGATTTTAAGTTTGATATAGTACCACTTGTTTATTTTTGCTTTTGTTTCCCTTGCTGCTGGGGTTGTATTCCCAAATACATCTTTGTGGTAGGTGTCCTATAGTGTGTCCCCTACATTTTCTTTCGGGTACTTCATGGTTTCGTTATTACATCCAAATCTTTAATCCATTTTGAGTGAATCTTCACGCATGGTGTTTAAATAGGGGTCTTGCTTTATTTTTTTGCACATGGCTATCCATATTTCCAGCACCGTTTATTTTTTTTCAAGATTTAGATATCTAATCTTATTTTTTATATATATTTTATTTTATATATATATTTTTTATTTTTTACATCATTGTTCATTTTTAAACAATATTTGCTTCCCCCCACCCCCTCAGGTGTAGTCCCCATAGTTTCCTTCACCAGTGCACCCGTGCACCATCACCTCAGTCCCCTGTGCTCCTCCTCCCTCCCTCTGATCCCTCTCCCTCCTCCTCCCCTGCAGGATGTCTCGGATTTATAATTGTCTGTTTTTGTTTTGCTGTGTTTTGTACTGTTACCATATTTTTTACACTGATGTCTTATTTGGTTCCCCTATATAAGTGAAACAATCTGATATTTTTCTTTTTCCTTCTGGCTTATTTCACTGAGCATAATTCCTTCTAGCTCCATTCACGTTGCTGTGAATGGCATGAGTTTATCTTTTTTTGATTGCTGAGTAATATTCCATTGTGTGTATGTACCACATCTTCCTGATCCAGTCATCTATTTTTGGGAATTTGGGTTTTTTTCCAGGTTTTACCTATTGTAAATAGTGCTGCAATAAACATAGGGGTACAGGTGTTCTTTTGCATCAATGTTTTTGTGTCCTTTGGGTAGATCCCTAGGAGTGGCATTGCTGGGTCATATGATAGCTCCATTTTTAGTAGACTGAGGAACCTCCAGAGAGCTTTTCATAGTGGTTAGACCAGTTTGCACTCCCACCAGCAATGTAGGAGAGTTCTTTTTTCACCACATTCTGCCAACATTTCTTGTTGCTGGTTTTTTTGATATGTGCCATTCTTATTGGTGTAAGGTGGTATCTCAGTGTGGTTTTAATTTGCATTTCCTGATTATAATGGATGAGCATTTTTTCGTCTGCCTGTTGGCCATGTGCATTTACATTTTGGAGAAATGTCTTTTAAGTTCTTCTGCCCATTTCTTGACTAGATTGTTTATTTTGTTTTTGTTGAGTTGTGAGTTCTTTGTATATCTTTGTAATCAGTCCCTTATCAGTTGACTGGAGTGCAAAGATTTTTTCTCAATCAGTTGGTGTCTCTCTGTTTTGGTTAATGTCTCTTTTGCTGTGCAGAAGCTTTTCAGTTTGATGTAATTCCAGGTGTTTATCTTTTCCTTGACTTTCTTTGCTTTGGGTGATGAATCTTTAAAGATGTTATTGTGATGTATGTTTTGTAGTGTTTTACCTCTATTTTCTTCTATATATTTTATGATTTCAGGTCTTATGTCCAGTTCTTTTCTCCATTTTGAGTTGATTTTTGTGCATGGTGAAAGGTAGTGGTCTAGTTTCATTTTTTTGCATGTGGTGGCCCAGTTTTCCCAGCACCATTTATTGAACAAACTGCCCATGTTCTATTGCATATTCTCTGCTCCTTTGTCAAAGATCAGTTGTCCATATAAGTGTGGTTTTATTTCTGGGCTCTCTGTTCAGTTCCATTGGCTTGTGTGTCTGATTTTGTTCCAATACCAAACTGTTTTAATTATTATGGCTTGGTAGTATAGCTTGAAGTTTGGAAGTATGATACCCCTTTTCTCCTTTGTTTTCATTAGTAAGGCTTTGGATATTTGTGGTTTTTTTGTGGTTCCATATGAATTTCATCAGTATTTGTTCTATTTCTTTGAAGAATGTCATTGAGATTTTTATTGGAATAGCATTGAATCTGTATATTGCTTTTGGTAGGATGGACATTTTAATAATGTTAATTCTTGAGATCCATGAGCAGGGGATGTCTTGCATTTCTTTGTGTCTTCTTTTTTTTTTTTTTAAGATTATTTATTTATACAAGCACTGAGTACAGTCAGAAGCGTGGGAGGGTGAGAGAATTCACCAGAGCCAGAGCGAGGAGCAGAACAGGCAGACTGATGAAGTACACTGCTGAGGGGAGCAGCGGGCGGCAGGAGAGGTCTGCGCGCCATGTGGGACTGTCGCCGGGAATCGAATCGGCGCTGCAGAGGTGCAGGCAGCTTCGCAACCCAGCGCTCAACCGCTGCGCCACCAGGGGAGGCCCTTCTCTTTCTTTTAACAGTGTTTTATAATTTTCTTTGTATAGGCCTTTCACCTTTTTTGATAGGTTTATTCCCAAGTATTTGATTTTTTTTGTTTCAATTATAAAAGGGATGGTTTCCTTGATTTCTTCTTCTTCAGATTGATTGTTTGTCCAGCACCATTTGTTAAAAGGCTATCTTTTCTCCACTGTATGGTTTAATTCCTTTGTCAAAAATTAGTTGTCCATATTCATTTGGACTTATCTCTAGATTTTCAATTCTGTTTCACTGAAATTCTGAATATCTGTTTTCGTTCCAATACCATACCATTTTGATTCCTGTTGCTGTGTAATATTGTTTGAAATCAGGAAGCATGATGTCTCCATTTTTCTTCCTTTCTCTCAAGATTATTGTAACTATCCAGGGCCTTTTGTGGCGCTATATAAATTTGGTCATTGCTTGTTCTATTTCCTTTAAAAAAAATCTTTGGTTTTGATAGTTACTGCATTTGTTCTGTAAATTGCTTGGGTAATATGGACATTTTTTTTTTAAACTTTTTTTTTAAAGATTTATTTATTTATTTATACAAGCACTGGGTATAGTCAGAAGCGTGGGAGGGTGAGAGGATTCACCAGTCCAGAGTGGAGAACAGAACAGGCAGACTGACGAAATACACTGCTGAGGGGAGCAGCGGGAGCAGCAGGAGAGGTTTGTTGCGCCATGTGGGACCCTCGCCAGAGTCTGGGGATAGAACCGGTGCTGCAGAGGTTGCGGGCAGCTTCGCAGCCCAGCTCTCAACCCCTGCGCCACTGGGGAGGCCCTAATATGGACATTTTAATGATGTTAATTCTTCCTACCCATGAGCGGGGGATAACTTCCCTTTTCTTTGTGTCTTCTTTTAGTTCCTTTACTAGAATTTCATAATTTTCACTATGTAAGTCCTTCACCTCCTTCATTAGGTTTATTTATAGATATTTTATTCTTTTTGCTGTGATTATAAATGGAACTATATTCCTTTTTTCCCTTTCCTCTGATATTTTGTTCGCATATAGAAATGCCATTCATTTGTGTATTGATTTTTGCGTCCTGCCACCTTATTATGTTCATTTATTATTTCTGGAAGTTTTTTTTTATAGACTCTTTTAGTTTCACTAAGTATATTGGCATGTCATCTGCAAATAGTGACAGTTTCACTTCTTTTCCAATTTGGATTCCTTTTATGTATTTTTCTTGCCTAGTTGCTTCAGCTAGGACTTCCAGGGCTATGCTGAATAACAGTGGTGATAGTGGACATCTCTGTCTTGTTCCCGATCTTAGTGAAAATGCTTTCAGCTTTTCAACATTGAATATGATGATTATTGGTTGCAGGGTTGTCATATATATATATGGCTTTTATAATATTTAGAAAGGTTCCATTTATTCCCCCTTTTTTGGAGGGTTTTTAATCATAAAATGGGTCTAATCTTGTCTGATTTTTTTTTTGGCATTTATTGAGATGATCATCTGATTTTTTTCTTCCTTTTTGTTGATCTGATGGATTACATTGGTTGATTTATGTGTGTTGAATCAGCCCTCACATCCTTAGGATAAAGCCTACTTGATCATGCCTACTTGACTGTCTTGATATGTTTCTGTATTCAGTTTGGTAGGATTTTGTTGAGAATTTTTGCATTCTACATTCATCAGAGATAGTGGTCTATAATTTTCTTTTTCTGTACTGTCTTTGGTTTGGGGATCAGGGTAATGTAGAATGTACTGGGGAGATTTTCACCATCTTCAATATTTTTTTTTTTTGAAGAGTGTATATAAGATACGCATTAGATCTTCTTTATAGATTTGGTAGAATTTGCTGGTGAAGCCATCTGCTCCTGGGCTTTTGTCCTTGGGGAGACTTTTTATTACTGTTTCAATTCCATCATTTGTGATTGGACAGTTTAGGCTGTCTATTTCATGCTGGTTCAGTCTTGGAAGGTTATAGGAGTCTAAGAATTTGTCCATTTCTTCTAGGTTTTCCAATTTGTTTGCACAGAGACTTTTATAATAGCTTCTTATGACCCTGTGTCTTTCTGCTATATCTCTGAATCATTTTAATGTTAGAGAACGTAAGCTGTGTTTGTGTCCCTTGCCTGTGTCTGCCTCCTGACAACCTTAAGTAGTAATAATAGAGCATTTCTAATGTCACAGGACAGTAAGCTGGTGTTATAGGAACCCCTTCTTTTGGACTCTGGAATATACCATTTATTTGATTATCCCTTGGATTATTGGTTAACTTACCTTTCTTATTATGTAGTAAAAGTTCAGCTCTTCAACTAGATAGCATGTTACTTGAAAGCATAGGATTCAGTGTGTGTTTGTTTATAAAGAATGTTTTACATACCACCCAGAATAAATGTTAGTTATTAGTATATTTATTTTAATGCTATTCTCTGAAGGAAATTTACTATTTTTCTTTTACAGATTAGGACTAACGGAAATATACCAGTGGTAAGTCTGAGGCCCTTAATGATTCTTAGAGTTCACAGAGTTATTGTGAGGATGAAATGAAACAATATAGGTAAAGTACCTACATAGAGTAGAAGTTAAGTAAGTGCTCATTTCTCTACCCTTTCCTTTATTCTGAGTTTTACTATTGATTCTGATTGAGCAAGTCTATGCATCCTACCTCGGGTGTCTTTCCATCTATAAGATTATATTGATAGTGTATAAAAACTAGCTAATATAAATTTTAATTATTGGTTAAGTAAATTTAGGCCTTTTCTGGTCTTTATCATGTCAATACTATTCTTTCCCAAGTAAAGATCTCTGACCATAAAGATTTATTATTTGAGTATGCCTCATTTTATATGGCAGTCATAATATTCTAAAGGTAGTTGAAAACTTAGAAATTGTCAAGTCTGTGATCTTCCAAGTGTTCCCCTACATAGTGAAGAGCCACACCAGGTGTCTAAGAATTTACTCACTTCCCGTTTCTCTAAAACCTGAAACTAGTTCTACAAAATTTGTACAATCTCTTTTATAATCTGCCTTCCCTAGAATCAGTTTAACAACGGTCAAATACATATTCATTAGAAAGCTTGTTTCTCTGAAGATTTTTCCATTTTTCAAAGCAAAGATAAGAAAAAGGCTACAGACTGAATCCTTCTGCTGAATTCAGTTACCAGACATTTATGCCAATGTTTTGACATCAGTGCATGAGAAATTTAGAGCCATCTAAAACTATTGCTGGACTTCCGGCACTCAGCTCAGATCCAGCAGGTGTTTGTGGCAGGTGGCTTGATATGCCCTTCATCTCATTTTTCTCATTAAATCAAAGTATGCCCTGCCCCCAATTAAGCTGCAAGCATTTCAATTACTCAACACTGTGTTACTTCCATTATCCCTGATAGTTCTAACTAATCTGAAGTTTTATATTAGATACTCCAATTATATTGATCTCTCACTTGGGTGTAATTCATCTGCTTGCAATTCATCTTTTCTTTTAGAAAATACAAATACTTAACTGGTTACAATATCATACAGTTAGCCATTATTATAATAGTGGGTAAATAGATGATTGCCTTTATCCTTGCAGGACCAAATGACTACCAACAAAGGCACTTAAATTTTATTTTAGAATTGGTTTAACAAATCATTTAAGAAGCTATAAATTTGTGTCAGTCAATGTTATACAGCTTAAGAATTCTCCAGAAATGGACACCCACAAAAAAATACATATAGAGTCTTTCTCCTCGGCTTCCTATCTTAAAAATTATTTTATCCCAAGTTGGTGTATCTTAACTATTACATTTTCTAGCCCTGGGGTCTTAAGTGGAATTAGAATATATAGGGATGGGCTTCTGAGGCTTGCTAGCCTTTCAGAAAATGACTCTGGACATCTTCTACTAGGCATGCAACAGAGAACTGGAAGTTCGCTCCAGCATTCATGAGTATATTTCTGTGCCTTCAAATAGCATTCATGAGTATATTTCTGTGCCTTCAAATATCTTCATGTAAAGCACCTATTTTACTGCAAGTACTAGAAATAAAATGTTGAATAAGACACAGTCCCTGTCTCTAATAGGTGATATCTTTTTGGAGAGTGTGTGTGTGTGTGTGTGTGTGTGTGTGTGTGTGTGTGTGTGTGTGTATCAGGCAAGAATCTTCACTTTTCTCTGTTTATTGAGCAGTATGATTTTGGTAACAAAAAGAGCATTATTATTAACACACTAAGAACTAGAAGAAGACTATATTTTCAAGAAAACTGGTAAAGATATTAGAAAATTTTTCTGTAGCCTTCTGAAGCAAAGAATGTTTTACATTCTTTGTGTATGAATTATGTATGAATACATTCATACATTCATTATGTATGAATACATAAATAAAGAGAAAGGGATCAGGTGACCCAAGTTCATGATTGCATGATAGGATTTGCTGCTGTTTGTCTGGGCAACCTTGGATAGATCACTTTAACTTCTCTGTTTCCTCATCTGTCTGGTATAGCACAATGATGTAGATGATAACAAATGATTACAAAATATGTTTGAAACATTAAAAAATGATATCATCATGTCTGATCTCATACAGCATTTATAGGTGATGATTCTTTTTTTTCCAAAATCAGGTATCTGGACCTCCGCCGATTTGGATCTGTGCCACATGGAGGTTTTGGGATGGGATTTGAACGCTATCTGCAGTGTATCTTGGGAATTGACAATATCAAAGATGTTATCCCTTTTCCAAGATTTACCCATTCATGTCTTTTATAGCTGGAAGACTGGTTTAAGAAAATCACCCCATGCCAGAGGTATGAATGAACATATAGGAAAATGCATGCTTGATTTTTAGAAATGCAAATATGGAATGGTCATACCATAAGGTACAACATATGAAAAATGGAAGTGATCATGATTTTCTTTAAAAATTGAGTACATTTCATGGAACAATGTCTTCCTTCAAGTAAAGGTTCCTATGGCAAGTAGAATCTCTCAAATCTGTTATGTCAATAAGAAATGGAACTAGATGGTCTCAAAGGTCCTTTCAAACACTAACACAGGATGAGATAGTACATTTACTTTGTCTTTAGTCATTAGATCACTGCCATGTGTGATCTTTGAGAAACAACAAGCAGCTACAGATAAAATGTTATTTGGCTCTTTTTTCCCTTGCCATTTAACCTATGATAAATGCCCATCTTATTCCTGGTGCGTTCTAAATATTACAGAAGAAAATACTCGTTTTTCAGGTCTTAATTGAGTGAATAAAGTTAGTATCTGAACTGAAATCTTCTTTCATCAGACCAGCTGAAGGAATTGTATTTATAATTTTTGATCTTTAGTTACAAATGCTAATGAGATGTAATCATTCACTGCTGTGTTGTAATTAGTTTATATTGAATGTTTCTACCTTCTTTAATAATCAAAATAGATTTTTGATACCTATGAAAGAAAAAAATTTTGTATTTCAAAATTCCATTGACCTTTTTCCAGAGAAATTTGGAAGATATTTTCAATCCAAGAGGAGGATGGAAATATGGTTACTCTTAAAGGTTCAGTGATTCTGGAGTCAAAAAGTAATATATTCTGTGAGCATTTACATGTGATTTTGAATAGGCCATTAATTCTGTAGAAATTTGTGCATCATTTTCCTCAGAGTTGATACAATAATTACATGAAAGTGTGTCTGTGTATGTGCATGCACATATGTGTGTTTAAAACTGAAATGCTACACACAATTTTTCATTCTTTGAGACTTGAGTTACATTATGTGTGGAATTATAGAAAATTGTCTACTCAGTGGAATTTGTATGCATCAAATAGTTGTAAAAGGGCATACATTCCTAAATCATCAATTCTCTTAAGTTTCATTAGATGACTTTCTTAGTATTTCCTTAGAAGTTTATTTTATTTACTTATTTAACCTAACTCAAAGTCAAACAGCAGAAAATAACTACAGTAACTTACAATTGGAAAACACTGAGAGATTGTCAAGGTTGAACTTCTGCCTAATGCAGAGATCTTATATACCTAGGTATCCTCTTGGCAAGGAGCTCAATATACCATAACATAACTCATTCCATTTCTGAATCTCTGATTGGTAACTTTTGCTAAGTTAAAAATCTCTGCCAAAATCTATTTCCTTGGAACATTAATCCCTTGGTCTTAGGTATCAAGTTTAGAACAGTTTAAGACTTGTCTTCATCAGATGCGTAAGAGATAAATTCATTTGTTTATTCAACAAATACTATTTGAACTTATTCTCTATGCTAAGAACTGTACTATTGCTGGATAAACAGTAGTGAACACCATAGAAATGATCGCTGCCATCACAGAATTTGCATACAGAGAAGATAAACAATCAGTAATCAAATGTATTATTTCAAAATATGACATGCTATAAAATTATATAAAGAACAGGACAAGCATCAGTAAACTAAAGAAAACATTTGCAACACTAGTTAATATTGACTTGGCATTGAGGGTTACTTGATACTATATTTTATAGAGCAAAAATCACGAACATTCACAGGCTTTAAAACTGGAGGCACTAATGTCCAAGCTATCAGAAATCAGTGACTCTTGAGGAACTGGATAGATTTTTAATATTAACATGATTGCTGGACATCAAAGTTTACAGTAATAGTAAAGAACTGAATTGAAGAAACTAGATTCTGGTTCCAACACCACCATTAATTTAGCTGTGGAGCATTCAGGAACTAAAATCATCTTTGTGGCCTCATTATTTCATCTGCAGAACTACCATTTCAAGTAGTGAACGCTAAGGATTCTTCTGTCTCTTGATCTTCTATGATTTTGATCTTCTATGATTATGAGTAACTTTTTCTATTGATTTAGAGTAACTTTTAGATGTCCAAAAATGTATGGTAAAATCAAATCACTGAAAGTTTAACTAATGATTGACTGAAATGTGTGCAACAAGAGTGTATGTGATATACAGGAAAGTCCTTCACAAGGAGTCAAATATATACTGCTCCTGACCTTTATCATAATCTTCAGCAATATATTTTCAAAGCTTTATTATACTTATTCACTTATTTCCTTCACAATCGATCACACAATGAGTATCTGGTTGATGTCACAGCCTCCCACTTGTAACAAACCTAATAGTTTCCATTTTTGGCTCTAATACTTATGTTTTGCCAAAAATGGAAGAAAAGCAAATACTGGTATCAAAGATGATGAAAATGCCAAAATTAAACTATTGCTTGCAAGTAGCATCAACAAGAAAGACCTTTAAAATGTCCACTTGTCAGCTGATCTCTGAATATACAAATTCCACATACAAGCATCATTCTAAAAGTCTATGTATAATGAATAAAACCATGGATTTATAGTTGAGGATTGTACTATTGTAATATTCTTCTAGGATTTAATTTTTAAGTTCAAAGATGATTTGAAGGTGTTAATTATTTATTTAGTAACTAATTTCCAGTGGAGGGAAAGTCAGAATCTGTTCTCCCAAGATTTCCAAACACCCCCTCAAAATAGAACCTCAGCTACGCAAATAAGAGTGTATTCTAAAATTTAGAAATATTTTTTCCACCATTAATTCCCATTCTTATTTCAAATTTTGAGGTAGGTGTAGAAAAATGGTCACTTTCCATCCGATTGTCCTCTTTCTTGGGTAAGTTGTGCTGTGTGTGTCTTTTTTTTTTTTTCTTTCTGTTTTTGTTTTTTTTTTTTTTTTTTGACTGACAAGAACTTAATTGTGTGAGTGATCCATTCCAGAACTAGACATAATTCCACCCTCTGACCCAGCCCAGAGACTCTTTAACTGTCACAAAACAGCAAAGGAACTGTTTGACCTTTTGTCCCTTTCAGACAGGATCTGCCAGAAGCATCCCTCTACAATGTTACACATTCATATTTTCTATAAATTGAATCTAGACATTCAAGCATGACTGAACAGGCATTGAAGATGCAATTTGGTGAAATGAATTACTCTACCCTTCTTTAAATCTCTTGATTCAGATAATTATAGATGAAAGATGCTTATTTGGATTGGATTCTGTTTATTCATATATTTATTTTAGTAAGTGGTGAGGGCAGAACATAAAAATGCAGCGTTGAAAGACAGATTGACTTGGATTGAATTGGTAAGAAATGTGTGGGGCTTTTTGGCTTTGGATCAATATTTGTATTCAGTCTGCAATCTAAAGTATGTATAATAAAAAGAAAACAGGTGGGAGTAATATCTGATTATAGCTTCTTCCCAGTTTATATTCTAAATTAAAAGATTAAAAGCACTAAAAGCAGAAAGCAACCTTAATCACCCTCGCTGAAATGATTCAGTAGGACTTCCATAATGATGCCAGTTTATTAGGTTTCGGTCATCATCCTTCCAGACATTTCTGCTATTGCAAGGTCCTTGACAGCCTGATCATCTAAGCCCCACTTAGCTCATGAGCAGTTTGGTTTGGACTCCAGTGAATTTACATCCATTATTAGCTCCCTGTGTGACAACTTCTGGGAGACCTTTGTGAAGTCAGATATTAAAGTGGTTCTTCAGCTGTCATTCATGCAGCTGATCATTGAATTAACATAACTCATGACTCTTAAGTAACTTTCTGCTACATCTTTGCTGTTCATAATTGTTATTAATGACTACCATTTGGACAATGTGTTATAGTTTATGAAAAAATGTTATTAAGTCACAATATATTGTGGCTCTTACTTGTATCTTATTGTACTGAATTCATTTGGTTTAATGAAAAATTAGTTCATTTATTGTCAAGATTAGTTATTAGGAATTCCTAATATTGAGAGAGAATAAAATTATAAAAATGAAGTTCACTGCTCTCAGCCTCCAGAGAAACTGCAAACACCTTTATAGTAGTCAAAGAATCTTGCATCTTAAGCCTCAGAGTTTTCTGGGCTTTTGTAAAATGAACACTTTGACCTCTAATTTCCTTCTTTGCATGGAAGAAGTGACTTAAGAATGCAAAAGAAAGTGATGATTGAGCTCAGAGACATCCTAGTAAAGAGAAACATTGAAAATGAAATAAAGGGTCCTGGACCCAGCAATATGTTCATTATGCCTCAATTTGTTTCATGAGATTATAGTCATATTATAGTCAAATTTCAGTGACTTTTAGAATCAACCTAGAAAGCACATAGGTAGATAAAGGAACTTTGGTAAGAATGATTAATATCCTTCCCAATGTGCTTAACTTTTGATATTGCAAGATGGTGTTCTAAGAACAGAAACTCGTTGGACCCATTTAGCAAAAGAAATTTCATGCTACAAATATACATGTATACAGCTAGAACTATATTTTGCAGAGCCAGGGCCATTTACAACTGTGACTCTCACTCTGACTTATAACCTTCTCTGCCTGCCCACTGGCTCAACAAGAACTGCTGGTTTGCTGTTTAACTAGATTGGAAAAATCACTTAGAGATCCCTTCCCCTGTTTATGATGTATAAACCACCCTCTGGATTGCACAAGTTCCTAGTAATTTACACACTATCCACTCAATGAGCGGGAAATCTATGCCTAAGTAAGAACTCTGATAGTAACAAGAGGGGCCCCTCCATAGCATGTAAATACAATAAATTAAAAACACAGCAAGCAACACATTTTCTTCTCCCCAGCCATCTCGTCTCCAGAATAGAATCTCTGTAGCACTCATGTAGATAATCTGTCCTTCTCTGAGGACAGCTCCCCACTCAGTTATTCATCAGTCAGTGTGTCTTTAAAAAGGGCCTTCCTCTTAGTAGAGGAGTGGTTTTCTCCACTCTCCATTCAGCTGCTACCCAGTGTCCTATAATAACCATCAATATTAGAAGGGTTTTTAAGTCTTTAGTGGCTCCCTTCTATCTGTCTTAGAGGCCATAGTAGTTGTTCCTTTTCCTCTGTGTATAAACTGCTAGAGAATCTTAATAATTACCACTTCAGAATGTTAGGCCAATCCCATCCCCTTCACTTTTGAGAAATTCAAAAATAAGCTTGGGACATACTGTTTTTGAAGAACATCAGTTCATTCACTAAAGAGTTCCACTAATATACACATTTTCTTTGCAGCCCCTCAAAAGGTGGCAACTAATTCCTCTGCTGTTAGGATATGGCTGACGAGTTACCGCTCTATGTCAGCCTGATGCTGTACTTACAAGTTGCAGAAGCTTGGGCAAGTTATTTGTCTCTGAGTCTGTATATGCATCTGTAAAATGAGGATTATACTTGGCCTACAGAGTATTGAGAACTATAAGATGGTTTTGTAAACTGAACAGTAAGGTCTGAGGGAAACTTTCTCAAAACAAAAAAAGAAATCTGTGTAAACTAAGGTATGTATTACATGTTGAATGAAATATCTTGCAGCCATTGACTATTATAAAAGCAAATGTGTTGAAAAAGATTTTTATTGCAGTTTGATTGTAACAGTATAAAAGCTAGGTACATAGAAGCATAGATAGAAAAATGAAATCAGCTGGTTTAGGGCAGTGGAATCACGTGGCTTTTTCTTTAACAATTTCCTTGGTGTCTTCAGTTCAGTTCAATAAATTTATTGAGCACTCACTTTGCCAGCTCAGTGCTGTACTCCAGATGCAGAGAGAACTAGGACAAGCTCTTTTGTCTCGGGGACAGTTGTTGTCAAAGTTTATTGTGTATAAGAACCATCTGGGGAGCTAATTAAAAATTCAGATAACCCTAGCCCCACCCTAGAAAAGCTGATTGTGTGAGTCTGGGATGAAACATTTACAATTTGCATTTCTTGATCAGTCACCCTGGATGATTGTAACGTAGGTAGTTTGAGTCTACACTACATTGTAAGAGCCTTCATTGAGGTTTTAGTATTTTTACAGTAAGATAAGTAACAATTACACAAATCTGATCATTGAAGATTTGTGTTTGATTGTTCTCTTTGCACTCTTGAGTTGTTTCTTATGCCTCTTTGTCAGGGATGAGAAAGCCAGCCTGCAGAATGGTTGTTCTCTGGAAGCCATGCAACATAGCCATGCAACATTCTCCACCTTTATCTCTTCCTCACACCCTCTCTCTTCTACCACATATCTGATTTCTCCTATGCCTAGTAATATATCGGCATCCAGGTGCTTCCCTTTCCTTTCTCCATCCCATTCCCTAACCATATATGCCAATTTTATTGAGGGGTGGGGCTTATATCTAGTTTACTAACTTGTACTGGAAGGCTTTTGTACATGGTTCTCAAAAAACTTAGCATCAACAACCACAAAAATATATGTTGAAATATTCATGCCTTTATGTTTGTCATTTAGCTCTTGATTTTTTTTCCCAGTGGGTCAGTAGTTCTCAGCAGATTCCTGTCCTGCCCTTTGAGTTAGCCTCTACCCTGCACCCTGAGTCAGTACTGCTCGTCTCCACATGCCTGTGAATGGGCTTGGGTGGCTTTCTCAGGCTACACGCCTGTCACCTCTTAGTCACCACGAGTCAAAAATATTAACAACTCTAATCACAGTGTCTGAGGCTCCGGGGCTTTGTTTCAAACATAGTGATGCTCAAAAATGCAACTAGGCTTCATACACTTCCGCATATTTATATTATAGTGTTAGCGTTTATATTACTTGTACTTCAAGATATCAAGGGTTGGACAAGAGCTTCCAGACTCCCTGCTTTCATTATGCTCCTGCTAAACCTTATGCAAATACCAGTACCCCTCTGCTCCTTTATCTTTTCCACCTCAACAACAGCTCCATAAGAACAGAGAGAACCCTTTCATATTTGTAACTGCAGTGTCATGGAGAGTATCTGGCACACAGTGGGTACTCATTAAATAACTCTTGAATTAATTAGCTATCATTGAGGCATCTAAAAAGAGAAAATATGTCCATCAGACAAAAGGGAAATGCTCCTTAAAAAAGTAGTTTCCAGGGCCTCCCCGGTGGCGCAGCGGTTGAGTGCTGGGTTGCGAAGCTGCCCGCGGTCTCTGCAGCGCCAGTTCAATCCCCGGCTGCTCCCCGGCCACAGGAGGAGGGTCCCACATGGTGCGCAGACCTCTCCTGCCACCCGCTGCTCCCCTCAGCAGTGTACTTTGGTCCTTCTGTCTGCTCTGCTCCCCGCTCTGGCTCTGGTGAATTCGTTCACCTTCCAGTGCTTCTGACTGTACCCAGTGCTTGCATGAATAATAAATAAATAAAATTTAAAAAAAAAAAAAAAAAGTAGTTTCCAAACTGGATTTTCCCTCTATATGTCTGAAATATTTCATACATTTTAAAACTGGCCCTTTCAGCATAAACTCAAGTTTAAAGGCTTTGCCTGAACATAGAACAAAAAGTCAGGAATCAAAAATAATTATGAGTTCAGCTGGTAATTTGTCTTTATGATGTTTCTGAAAGTAGGTCTCCTAGTAAAGCATCGCTCCTGGTTTTGCTTCTGAAATATAGTGACTTAATAGATGTCTCAAGAGCTGTTCTTCATTACAAAACCAGTACCTAATTGTGTGCCTTGCACTCAGTATGTGCTTGGTAGTTACTGAATGTTTTAGATAAAAGAAAGGCAGAAGTCCCAGATGAACTTAGTTGTAATTGTGCAGATTTCCTCCACCTTGCTCTCTAATTCTAGACAGATTTCTTGCCTTTACATCATCTAATTCAGATGTTGATAGATGCCTGTTCTTGAGGAACCTATCACTGTGGGGCACCACAAAACAAGTCCAACCTAAACTCTTGCAGTTTCAGTCCTCATAACAATTAATTGATAATTCCTTGTGCTCCCATGATCCTTTGAACATAACTCTATTACTGCCTGCAAATTATTCTCAGCATCTGCCAATCTGTCTCTCCCCAAAGAGACCCTGAACTTAAGGTTTTTGTCATACTCATTTTTACATTCCTGTGCTGAACTTGAGGTAATAATTTCCCAGAAAATCCTTGCTGAGAATTTAATGAAAAGTATATAAATAAGTATATAAATAACCATCCCTAAGTAACATGTATTTGAATTTAAATATAATTCATATTTGACTAGAAATATATGCCTTTCTAAGTGTTTTCAAAGTTACGAATTATAGATACTGGGTGTGTCCTAAAAGAAACCAAATTGGGTTTTCTATATCTTAAGCACTTTTTATTTATTTTTTTAATATTATATATATTTTTACATCATTTTTCATTTTTGCACAATGTATGCGTTTTCATCTTGGTTATAGTCCCCATACAATTTCCACCCCCCTTGTTTTGATCCTACTCCCTTCTCCCCCCTACCCCCACCCATAGTGTGTCTGTGGTTTATAGTTGCTTGTTGATTTTGATTTTTACTTATTATAATTAGTCTTCTTCCTGGTCCCTTATTTAGGTTTTCTAGATTCCTGCTATGAGTGAGACCATCCAGTGTTTTTCTTTTTCTCTCTGGCTTATTTCACTGAGCATGATCCCTTCCAGCTCCATCCATGTTGTTGCAAATTGCATGAGTTTATCTTTTTGATTGCTGAGTAATAATTCCATTGTGTATATGTACCACATCCTCTTGATCCAATTATCTATTTTTGGACATTTGTGTTGTTTCCATAGCTTACCTATTGTAAATAGTGCTGCTATAAACATAGGGGTGTAGGTGCTCTTTTGAATTAATGTTTCTGGGTCCTTTGGGTAAATACCCAGGAGTGGAATTGCTGGATCATATGGAAGCTCCATCTTTAGCAGACTGAGGAATCTCCACACAGCTCTCCATAGTGGTTGGACCAGTTTGCACTCCCACCAGCAGTGCAGGAGAGTTACTTTTTCTCCACAACCTCGCCAACATTTGTTGTTGCTAGTTTTTTTAATATGTGCCATTCTCACTAGTGTGAGATGGTATTCATTGTAGTTTTGATTTGCATTTCCCTGATTACAGTGATGTTGAACATTTGTTCATATGCCTGTTGGCCATCTGCATTTCCTCTTTGGAGAAGTTCCTTTTTAGCTCTTCTGCCCATTTTTTGACTGGGTTATTTACTTTGTTTTTGTTGAGTCTTGTCAGCTCTTTGTAGTTTTTTACGATCAGTCCCTTATCATTAGTGTTAAACACTTTTTAACTTCTATTTAGTTATCAAATCTATCCTCCTTCCTAATTCCCTCCCAAACATCCTATCCTGCTGGATCTGGGGCAGACATACTGGAACTTCTCTTGCTAATTGGACTAGGGGTGGAAACCTGATCCAAAATGGGCCAGCATAAACAAATAAATCTTAAAAAAAATTATTTTCTAAAAAAAAAAAAAGATGAAATAAGATAATCTGAATGGCTCTATATCCAGCAAGGATTTGGATCCAAGTTTAAAAACCTCTAACAAAGCAAACCTGATATGCAAATAGTTTTACTGGATCATGCTTTTGGCATGATATCTAATAAAACTTTGCACACAAAAGGTCAAGAAAAAAAAATGGACCAGTCTCTTGGAAAACTGGAGTAAAGAACACTAGTGTCTGGACTGGTTGCTTGAACAGGAAACATATAAACTAAAGAGTGGTGTAAACAACCATGTACTCAAGAGACAGAGAAAGCAGATAGAAAAAAGTAAAAGCAAAATGCCCAGAGATGGAAAACAATATGTCCTCCAAGAGAGACTGTCTACCTATATTTTGCTATATGTAGCCCTGGGCTGTTGCTCTTCCTGAGGTCAGATTAGTCAACTTTCCTTGGGCTCTGTGGGATAGAACTAGTTTTCTTATAGCTATGTTCCTTATAGCTATGTTCCTTAAGCAAATTTTAAATGGAATCTGCTTTTGCGACTAAAAGAAGACAAATTAATTAGACTGGTTTTTAGAAAAAAAAAAATTTTTTTGGTCTCACTAGCTTTTAGTCACACCTACTTATTATCCAAGAATATATGTTAATCATGAAATAATTTAGATGAGGGATTCCTGATAAACAAGATGTAATAGGGTAAGAGGTTCCTTTGCTTTACAAGTTTCTTATTATATACCTGAGTCACAAAACCAGAAAGCAAATGAATGAAGGTTTAAATTCACAGGGGATTGGACATGTATGAGACCTTTTATGAACTACAAAATTGGATAAGAGAGGTTCTAACGAACCAACACAGTTGGCATCTTCCCAAGGCATCTATTTTTGAAGACTCTGCTTTCCAGAACTGGATAAGAATGGCTTTTGTCATTCAAACACATCGCTGTGTTTCAGATGAGCCAAAACTGAAAACTGGAAGAAACTAAAAAGTATGTGTGCCTAAAGCAGCCCAGACCCTGCTGCTGAGCTGGCCGTAAACAATGACAGTCAAATCTATGAAATTACAGAGCATTTTGCTGTCCAGAAATGGTTTCAGATGTGTGTAGGGCTTTGTGTACCATATTCATTCAACCCTGGCATGCCATACCCTGAATTTAGTTCTCAGTTAAAATAATCATTTTAAAAAGATGCATGGGAAATGTGCACTGCTAAAATCATTATGTGACTGGTTCAAGAAAATTTCAGAGGGAAATCTTAGGACTTTTTCCTAGAATGTTAAAAAAAAACATTAAGTTATAATGATTGCTGCCAACATGTTCCAAACCACTGTAGGAAAACAACAACAAAGTTTCCTGCTCTCATTCTGAGTGGACATTCAGGACCTTGGAGAAACTTGCATGTAATTCAACTGTAGCTACTTTCTTTTTTTAAGTTAATTGTGTTAAATGTGCCTCATAATTTCTAATCCCAGTAGGGCTGTCATTTAGAAGGGGGTGGGCGTGGGGGGGGGGGAAGCTGTTTTAATTCTGGCTTTTGTTTCACCCACTAAATGTAATGCCACATGATTGTTGACCCAACAGTAATCCAGTTAAAAAACAGTCTTCAGAGTTACTGCATCATGGAAATTAACCCTGATTACATCAAATTATGTTGAAACAGACCACAGCTGTTTGCCCTGTTGAAGCAACTGTTTGAGAGCTCATCCAGAAGATACATCTGGGTGTCAGGAAGATACATTTTGGTTTTTATTTTTGTTTCTCAACACAAATGTAGGAGGGAAACACTCAGTTCTGCCCAGAGTACTTGATGGGAGCAGAAAACCATGTGATTTTCCAGAATCAAAATTCTTCCTAATTCCAAAAGAGTAGAAAACCTGAGACCCTTTGTTTCAGTTTTCTATAGGAAGGATGTAAGAAGAAGGAAATTCAAATCTGTTGAGTATTGTTCTTGTCAGCAAAAGGAAGTGGAACTGACTGACTATAGAGAAGGATGGTGGATTGTCTCTGGTAGGCTGTACACAGTAGTGTGCTAAGGCTCCCTCAGGCCAGCCCAGAAGTAGATTGTTAAATTGTGAAAAAAAAAAAAAAAAATGCAAACTGGTTGTTAAAAAAAAAGTATTATAAGGAAAATAACAAGTACTGGAGAAGATGTAGACAGATTGGAGCCCTCAGACATTGCTGTTGGGAATGTAAAATGATGTAACCAATATAGGAAATAGTTCAACAGGTCTGTGAAAAGTTAAACAGAGTCACAATATGATCCAGCAATTACACTCGTCAGTATATACCCGAGAATTGAAAATGTGGGTTCATACAAAGACTTGTATACAGATGTTCACAGCAACATTATTTATAATAGCCCCAAAATGGAAACAGCTGAACTGTTCATCAACTGATGAATGGATAAATGTGCTATATCCATATAATGGAGTATTTGCCCATAAAAAGAGAATGAAAAAGAAATTGCAAAAAGGACGAAAGTAGAAAACATACAAAATTAAAGCTGGCATACATGAGACCGTGTATCATATGATTTCAAATCCAGAATTGGCAAATCCATAGATACATAAAATAGATTAGCAGTTGCAAAGGTGGGGAGTGGGGTTGGAGATGAGGAATAACTACTAATATATATGGATTTTCTTGGGGGGTACGGTGATAGAAATGGTCTCAAATTAGAAACAATGATGGTTGCACAACTTGGTGGATATACTAAATTGTATACTTCCAATGGGTGATTTTTATGGTATGTGAATAATACCCTAAAAAAATTAGGTCATATAAACTTAAAACTAAATTATATCAAAAACTAAGTGAATAAATAACTAGTTACTAATTATTTTGTCATAATCTCTACTCATGGTATGATTTACGTGTGTCGTATATGTTGGAAACACTAAATGATGGTTTGTTACTGTGCATTTCTTATGTCTATAGTCAAAGACGGGGAGTTGCTAGCTTTAAATTGGCCAGAGGGTAGTATTCACACCACCAAAACTGGCATATACTATAATTCAAGGCTATCACCATCAGAGAACTACTGTTTAAACTTTATCAGTGGCTGTGTGGGTCAGTCATCTTGGATAACTGGTAGATTGAGAATTAGAGGAGGCCTTTGAAAGCCCAGCAAAAAAAAGACTAGCCAATCTGCACACTTTCTTCAGTGCAGAAGAAAATGGCATTTCAAATCATCTGTTGGCTGAGACCCGCTTGGAGTCAGAGGACATGCTTTCACCAACTTTGCTAGTATTTCGTGTGGGTTCAAGGGATTAAGTGCTAGAGCCCCTTTAGGACTGTCACAGTGAAGCCAGATATCAAATAAACCACAGAGAGATTTAATTCTTAGTCCCAGAGAAGAGGATATCTGGGGTATCTACAACAACAGCCTCAGAATTTGGAAAGCAAAGGTTAACATAGCTCTCTGGAGCCAGGGGGTAGAAGTCAAAGGCTTAAGAAGCCATTGTTTTTTTTTTTAACTACTCAAGGATTAAAGCCACCTTTAAAAGTGGACCTGCATAGGATTGCTTCCAGCTACTTAGTTCTTCCTACCCGGCCAGTCCCAGTGGGGTTAAACATTCTAACCACTTGTAAATATCTTCACAGTTATTATTATCTGGTGTGGATAGATCAGAGCGTTCTGGATGCTCTGGGTCCGTAGCTCCCACTTGTCATGCTTTAAAGTTTAGTTCCTTCATTCTCACAACAAACATTTAATGAGCCTCTCTGTGCCTGGCCCCAAGTTGGGGGACTCTAGGGATACAAAAAATGAGGAAAAACACCCTTGCCCTTAAAGAACTCAGTTCCTGGACTAGTAAATATTTGCACTACACCGTGATAATATATATAGATGCAGTGTGAATCCAAGAATAAACATCTGTGCTGAGGAGTGGGAACAGTGAATTTTAGGGTAAGTTCTTCTTAATCTAATTCAAGGCAGGGGTTCTTTTTGTGAAGGAAGAGGCGAAAGTGGAAAGTGGAGTACCAAGGCACTTCTCCCAGGGAATTTGACAGTCGTCACTCTTGGGAGATGATGAGAAGTGATTCTGCCGCATCATGTCTGTGAACAAGGTGATGTTACCACTGCCCTGGTGTCCTCAGAAACGCCCCGGGGGCCAAACTGCCCAAAGCTGTTATCACAGATTCTGGTTCTTCACAAAGGCACAGTTGGGAAATAGGACTTGCTCAAACTCTGTAACAAAGTCATTTCCAAAATGTTTCCCACTGGGTGTAATGTCAAGCAAATCAGATGGTTCCGAAGCCGCAGACAGGGAGGAAACCCAATTAGGTCTTCAGCCACACCCCAAGCCCACTTTCACATCTCAGTCCCAACCAGATGCCCAAAGTTGATTTGAGTAAATCAGAGTTATTTGGTGGAAGGAACCAAGGGTTAAAGAGGCGCACACCTCAACATGCCTAAGAGACCAGCTGCAGTGGCTCAGCTGGTCACTCTGACTTTGGCAAGCGCTGTTAAGCTCTGAAATTAACCTGTCAACTAAATTGAAGGGAAAAAAAGCAGAAGGGCTAGGACACAAACATCCATCCCTGCCCCCCCCCCCAATTCCTGACGTCAGACCTGGCGTGGGTGGTATTAATCACACCAGCCTGGTGTGCAGTTGAGGACATCTCTCCTTCCAGCACTTCTAACCCATTCCTGGGAGCGTTCCACTAGCCATGCACCTGCCACTGGCCACAAACCCTCAACTCCCAGATAGGCACGGATACAAGCTGGCGCTGACGACACACAAAGCCACCCATTAGAACCAGGCCTGGGCGGGGGAGGAAGGGAGGTGGGAGTGTTAGTGAACAAATTGTGATAACCATGCTTTCCTCCCAGGTGTGCATTTCTCTAATCTCTCCAATGTTCCCTCCTGAGGAACCCGTCCCATAAAATGGTCATTTCCTGGGGACTTAATGAGAATATAGAATTAATGACCCGAAGCTCTCCTTGCAACCGGTCATTAATTCCCCCAGGAAATACTCTTGGCCTTTAATCAAAATTGCCTAAATTATAGACTAGTGATGCATGACCTCTGGGGAGGGGAGGAGGAGGCTGTCATCCCAACTGGTTCCAATAGATGGCGCCTACCTTCATGTAAATAAATCACTCAATTTGTTTTCCATTTCTCCCAAGTGAAAAAAACAGGGAGCTTTAAAACACACACACAGCAGGGAGTGGAGAGGACTTAGTAAAGACCCGGACAGGAACGTTCTGTCCGAGGGCTGTTTCCAGGCCTGGCACGCTCCTCGGGCTCAGACTAAGTCACACCCCGGTGCAACCAGGGACCACAGCAGCAGTCCTGCCTCCCAAGTGCAGCTTAATGACCTTCTGAGTGGGGGTCCTTTCTCTAACATTTGATAAAGGTGGGATATGTTCAGAGAAGACTTCCTGAGGCTGATTCTTCCTAAGTCTTGCATTTCAGGGCGCCTTTTCATGGTTGGCCACGGAACATCAAACTTCTGTTTCCACGTGGAATTAGAAATAACAAGGGGTGGTGAAGGGTCTTTCTGCTAAACAAAATTAAGAACCTCAAGAGTTTCTGACCCAGCCCCAATTAACCATTGCGAACAATCTGCCTTGAATCACTTATCTATCAGAGATATGTAATGGAAGACTACTCTTCTAGGGAAAGCTAGGGCATATGTATGTCTGATGTGCATCACAAACCGCAGCTGCAAACAAACCATGCAGATTGCTCAGGCTGCAAACACTGAGACTTGGCACCATGACTCAGATGTGAATGAAGTCAGAAGAATTGCTTTATTTTGGTTGGGAGTCACTGCCTCCTGATTGATTTGGCACACTATGAGTATTTTGATTTTTGTCTCACGTGGTTTTAAGGTATTTAAAGCCAGAGGTTAAAATGGTCATTATTCCTAAGGATCCCTAAATTGGAAGGCTAAGGGCGCTCTGGTCCCAGCTATTGCCTGATAATTCTGGGCTCGCATTCAATCCAGCTGCATTGCAAGTGGGCAGTGAAGAAAGTGAGTGAAATGTTGGGCCAAGGGGAGCCCATCTCTAAACCTCCCACTGAACCTTAAAGAGCTAAATAAGTGTGCAGTAAAGTCTTGGCTCTTACAGACAGAGCAAAGTGGATGACCTTTCCTCAAACCAAGCAAGATCTATAAAGCAAGAGGGATATCCAACAGCTAAACACAACTAGCTTTACTGCACCGAGACAGGGAAATGAATAAAACAGAGCCTTAGTCTAAACTTGTACTGGAAGTGCAAGACACAACTCCCCCTCGTCTGCCACAGGACATTCCCTATTGATATGATGGGTTATTACTCATTTCCCAAATAAGTTAGAATGCTCACCTTTTAATGCAACCTGTAAAGGCACTTTGTCAGTTGAAAAGAACCCCCAACAAAGGTTTCTTTCCCTCCACTCTTCCTGCAGTGCTGGGGTTGTAAGGTGAGGGCTTCTGCTTACTTTTTACCTTCTAAGCCTCACCTGCAGGCAATGAAAGCGGCATCATTATCTCCCAATTTTCGTATAAGCCTCAGAGAGGTCTTATAACCTGTGTCAATGAGTCGGATCCTTGGAAAATTTTGGCTGCAATTTTTCTTTGACGCCACCTTGACTTGCAATTCACCATAAAATACATTGACTCATTTTGACTTCCTTGATTCTGCAACGCATACAAATCTTCTCAATTGTTTTTCCCAGAGGCAGTGTGGGAATCAGCTGGACTTTATTTCTTGGGAAGAAGAGGCCCCTGAGTTGTCCGCACACATGAAAGCAATTCTCCCACTTTAAATAGCAGATGAACAAGACCACAACCACCCCCGGGCCCCGAATTAGAAACTTGGCTCTGCTTTGCCATCTTAAGCTATCTGTAAAATGGGAGTAACACCGCCCTCCCCACTTGCAGATTCGCGAAGAGTCCTGTGGACTAGAAGGGTGAAGGCGCCCTGCACCTATCAGCCCGCGTCCTCCCCCGCCCAGGGGCTGCGAGAGTTAATGCAACTCTCTCTGGGGAGCGGATCGCCAAAGCAGCCACAACCTGGCCCCCCGAAACCTGAACCTCTGGGAACAGATAGGAAAGGCCAGCAGCCCCGGGGCCCCTCCCTGCCAACCCTCAGTGAAAAATCGATCCCGAGCGAGCGAGCGCGCGCAGCCCCGGCCTCTCCCCACCCCACCCCCACCCCACCCCCACCCCGCGGGCGCGGCTGCCTCCACGCCCTTCCCGGCCAGCCGCTTGCAGCTTCAGGAAAAAAGCCGGAGCGGGGGGCGCGGCCGGCGCTGCCTTCCGCGTCCTTGCGAATCCCGACTCCAAAGACGCGAGGCGGGGTTTGCGCCCTCGCGAGCGGCCGGCGGGGGGCGCGGCGGGCCGTGGGCGTGGCGGGCGCGCGCCGCCTTCCTGCCGAGGCGCCCCCGCCGCGGCCGGGCTGGAGCCGGGCGCGCGCGGGCGAGCGGGGGCGCGCGGGCGAGCGGGCGCGCGCGGCTGCCTGGTCCTCGCCCCGCGGCCGGCGGCCGCCCGGGCCCCTCCCCTCCCCGCGAGCTGCGCACGGCGGGCGGACCGGCCCGCGCCCGCGCCCTCGTCCGCCCACCCGGCGGGCCCGGCGGCCGGCAGCATGAGCGGCGGCGGCGACGTGGTGTGCACCGGCTGGCTGAGGAAATCGCCCCCCGAGAAGAAGTTGAGGCGCTATGTGAGTGCGGGCGGCGGGCGGGCGGGCCGGGGCCCCCGACGGCCGGCCGAGGGGCCGGGGGCGCCTGGGGGGGACCGCGCCGACGGGGAGGGCGGGCCCGCGGGGTGCGCCGGGGGCGAGGAGGGCCCGCGCCCCGCGGCCGGGGCTGTGCGGGCACCTGCACACCTGTCACAGGTGCGCCGCCGAGGGGCGGGGCCCCGCGCGGCCGGCCGGCAGGTTGGGGTGCGGCGCCTCGGCTGTGGGGCGCGGGCGGCGGCGCCTCCCCACCAGCCGCCCTGGAAACTAAATGCCGAATTGAAGTTTGTATTGATTGTTTCTGGAGACCCGGAGAGTTGATTCCCGGGGCGGGGGGCAGTGGTCACCCTGAGCGGCTTCAGCCTGCACGGTGGGGGGGGGGCGGGGGGCAGAGGGGGGACTAGGCTGTGGGGCCGCGCGGCCCGGCCCCCACAAAGGGCGAGCGCCCCACACCCTCCCCCCTCCCCGCCCGCCCCTCCCGGGCGGCCCCGGCCTCCTCCGGCCTCTGCATCGCGGCGGCGTCAGCGGCATGTGCAGCCCCTGTATTAAGTGACTCATTTGTTTGTCCCCTTCTGTCCCCGCATTCTGCCTGCCCCTCGCTTGCAGCCCCTCCGCCCCGTGGTGACACTGCAGTTTGCTCGCTGAACCTGGCCTGGGTTTTGTGCGGTTCAGTCCCTGGCGTCTGGGGTCGGGAGAGATCAAGGCGCGCAGTTGCCAGGTGGTGCCAACCGACAGTGTTTACTGGGAGTGTTGGGACAGCCGCTCCCCTCGGGGAGGAACTGGCAGCATCAAGGGGAAGGTGGTACAGTCTGGCACTGAGCGGCCAGGAGTGCTGGCTCCCCTTTCCCCAGGACGCTGGCTTTGCCTGATGCGGCCACAGTGCAAGGTGGTGCCAATTACTGAGATTTGGTTGCAATCAGCTGTGGTCGTGGCAGGAGTTTGGAAACCGAAGGAAGGTCGCTCAGAGGCGTCAAGGTCTCCCCTCCTCTGCTCCTTCACTTCCTATGAAATGCCCTTGCTAAGCTGACTTGTGATTGTGGACTCTGGAGTCGTCCTCGGTGTAGAAGGGAGCCGCTGCCTTCCAGCTGCAGCGCATCAAGGGAGCTCTGCACAGACCCTGCCCTCTGTCAGCTGCGCTAGTGGCTCTCCAGGGGGGAGAGGCAGAAGCTTACCAGAGTTTCCTGTCTTGGCTCCCCAGATCAGAACTAAAGGACTTCTGGCCTCTGGATTGAGGAAGTGACATTCTGTTTTTCAAAGGAAGTGTTGTTGTTGGGGAGTGCAAGAGTGTGTGTGTGTGTGTGTGTGTGTGTGTGTGTAAATGAAATCTGCTCTTAGATCATTTGTTGGGAAAAATATCAGGATTGAGCGCTTAACTTTTGAAAGTAGACACAGATTTAAAATGTAGTAGGGAGGAAGCAATGAAATAGCCATCTCAGTTTTAAAATTCATTCAGTGAGGTCCATGTAGCCAACATATTATAATTGCTAGAAAAGCGACTTTTGCCCTCTGCACTCATCAGTTCATTAGAAAAGGTGAAATTTCATATTAGGTTAAGGAAGAGCCATTTGCTTTAATGTTTTTATAAATATAAAAAATAAAAATTCGGGGCCCAACGAGCTACTGAAAACTAGTGCTAAAAAAAAAAAAAAAAAAAAAAAAGTGTTACCATACCAGCTAGTAGACTAGCATGTCAAGTAAAAATGTTACCAGTAATTGTCAAATTAGACAGTACCCTAAAGAACCTTGAAACTTGGCTTTTGAAACAATTTGATACTGTATCTACATGGCTTCTTCACCTTTATCACCCAGATTCTCTTTTTGACCCATTTCTTAGATATTTTTGTTCCCAAGCAACTTCAGATCAAAATAAGCAAGTTTGGGGGCTTTTGAGTCAAGCACCTTTTTTATTCATTTGAGCTACCTGGCACCCTTCTAGTCCACATGATGAACTAAACCTCCTTCCCAGCTTCCTTGCAGCTCCAGCCCATAAGCATCTGACCAAACCAGTAATTATTTTTCTAAGCTGAGGGATGACTGGACGTCTCCCCCACTGGGGAACTGGGTTCCCTTAGTTGAAACTGAGTTAATCCATGTAACTGAGCACCTGGGGAGCAGTCTGCCTTTAAGCTTTTCTTTCTGGGAATTTCTGCACACCGTTTTTAAGTTAGAATTCTGCCAGTTCTCTGTTCATGACACAGAAGTATTCCCCAGCCACATTGCTAAACACCTCAAAATAGCTATTCTGGTAGATACGATAGCTCTGTGGTATTATAGATTGGTAAATCTTCATTGTAAAAATGTATTAAGCATCTGAGATAAGGAAGTAAAGTAGTTTGTGAAATAGATTACAATTATTTCTATTTTTTTTCAAAACCTATCTCTTATTTATCTTGGGGAGAGGAATAGATGGGGGGAATAATTTCAAAGACACTGTGGCAAGTGTTGTAAGGGATTAAATTTAGGGGCTTTTTAAAATCAGCCTTTTCTAGCTTATTAATTAGAACAAAGTGCAAAAGGTGTTCAGTATTTGCTGTGTGCCCTGGGAGAATAGTAAAAAGTGACCTCTGGGAATGTTAAGTGTTGCCTCTGGGGCATCATAATACCGTTACAGTGGGAGGTTTGTAGATGTGACAGTGTATGTATGTATGTGAATGCGTGTGTGTGTGTACATGCACATATTTATACATATACATAAAGTTGAAATGGGATTTTCTTATGGAAAACATTTTATGGCATACTCTGCTCTATAATTTTCTAATTTCATAGGTTAAAAGATTTAGAGGAACAGATTGGCGGCAGCATTGCCCCCTAGTGGCCAACTTGGAGAAAGTTGTGTATTGATTATAAGGAAAACTTGCATTCAGGAAACTAGTTGCTTATTTTTTTTTTTTATAGAGGCATGTTTTATTTATTTATTTATTCATTTGTTTGTTTATACATACACTGGGTACAGTCAGAAGCGCGGGAGGGTGAGAGAATTCACCAGAGCCAGAGCGGGGAGCAGAGCAGGCAGAAGGACCGAAGTACACTGCTGAGGGGAGCAGCGGGCGGCAGGAGAGGTCTGCGCGCCATGTGGGACCCTCCTCCAGTGGCCCGGGAGCAGCCGGGGATCGAACAGGCGCTGCAGAGGCTGCGGGCAGCTTCGCAACCCAGCGCTCAACCGCTGTGCCACCGGGGAGGCCTTAATTGCTTATTTTTGTTTTACTTATTAAACATATCTATTAAGTGTCTGTATCCCACTTGTTGGGATAGATGGAAAATGAAAATCCAGCCTGCCCTTCCATCTTTCTAGATGACCTTGCCTTCTCCTTCACAGGGAAAATTAAAGCTTTCAGGGAGTAACTGTTTACACATACTGGGACCAAATTTCCCCACCTGCTTGTATTTGCATGCTGCCTTTGCTTTCTCTCCTCTTCTTAGAGTAGACGATGTGCCCTTTCAACTGAACTAAACCTGCTGCCTGTACTCTGTGTCATAGCCTCTCCTGTCTGGTCAGATCCTCTGTAATTATTCTGTCTTAAATCTTCAACTTCTTTGCCTCTTCCTCTCTGCCTATTCCCTTCCCTTAAAATTAACTTCCTTTTAATGGATTTATCCCTCTGGTACACCCCTTCTGTCTCACTGTGCCACCTCCTTTTCTTTAGTACTAAGTAAACTTGTTAATGGTGGTTTATATTTTGTTTTTTCCTCCTGTGGCTCTGATCTTAAACCTACGTGTCACTTCACCACAGCAACTCTGGTAAAGACACCGGTGACACCCATGTCACTGTATTCATTTTCACTTTTAACTGCTTGGCCAGAGTGGAGACTCTTGCTTTCTTGAAACATCTTCTTGTCTTGCACCACACCCTGTCAGCCTGGTTTTTCGCCTTTTCTGGCTACTCTTCATCTGCTTTGCTAGACTGAAACTCTTTACCCCATCCTGAAAAACTGAAGCTCCTTTACAGTCACAGTCACCATGGTGTAGGCTCTTTCTTCTCTTCAGAAATCACATCCAGGGGCCTCCCTGGTGGCATAAGGGGTTAAGTCGCAGCACTATGAAGCTATCCACACACCCTCTGCAGCAGGGCACAAGTTTGATGCTGGCCAGCCCAGGAGGTGACCCACATGGCACAGCAGACCTCTCCTGGCTCGCCCGCTGCTCTCCTCAGCAGTGTACTTCGGTCATTCTGCCTGTTCTGCTCCCTGCTCTGTCTCTGGTGAATCCTCCTAACCCCCACACCTCTGGCCCATACCTCAGTTCTTGTATGCATAAATAAATAAATCTTTAAAAGAGAAAAAAGAAATCACATCCATTCTCCTGGCTTCAGTTGTCTCTCATATACTTGGGGCTATCAAGTTAAATTTATATCCCAAAGTTGTGTTCTGAAACCCAGACTTGCATATGCAGTTGTTAACTGGGTATCTATACTTAAATGTGTCCCAGTCAATATAAACTAGGTGCTTCCTCGTTCCTCTTTTCCTCTGGACGTGTTGCTTCCTAAGTGGTGCCAATGACCACCTGCTAGCTCAAGATACTGGGAACTGTCCTCTGCTCCCTGTCGCCCACTATCCCACATCCAGTCTATCACCAAAACCCGTTAGTGTTTTTATCTAAATATCCTTTTCTATACACTTCTCCGTCCTCACTGCCATGGCTCTTTAGGTTATCATATTAGTAGCCACCTTCTGAGTACTTACTCTGTGCCCAGCGCTATGCTTAGACCATTGAACTCTTAATTTAATCCTCTTAGCCCCATGAAAAGAGAAGAGACTTGTCCAATGTCACTGCCCCCAAAGCTTGAGCTATTTTAAAAATTAAGCTTTTTTTATTTTGAGGTAATTGTAGGTGTATATCTAGTTGTAAGAAAGAGTAAGGAGAAAACCCGTGTATCCTTTGTACAGTTTCTCCTAAATGTGACGTCTTGGGATACGGCACCATGGTATCACAATAGGATGCTGACAGTGATGCAGTCAAGACGCAGGATATTTCCATCCTCACATGA